CCCCTAGACCATAACTTCCAAGCTTGCGTCAATGTCAACTGCACTTTATGTATTCCCCACGTAACAAGATATAAAGTAACTGCAACCTCAATACAGATCTAGAAATTTGCATGTTTTCAAATATATTTGCATACATACATATATATCTATAAATTTGTTCATACATCAAGATTTGCACTTATGTACATATATTTGCTTGTAATTTTATATCTTCGTCGACACACTTACATATGTACATGCTAAGGTGCATACATAAGTATCTGCTATAAGTATGTTTGAGTTGAGTGAATAGTAAAGTGCATTGAAGTGCAGTACAGCCGATCAGCGCACACAGGCACTCACTCACACACCGACAATTTCAAAATCATATGAGTCTATCTCGTTGCTGTTTCGTTTTGTTTTCGAAAATATTTATTGGTTGTGGGCGTGGGCTTCCTAATTGAATTAGTATGCCACAAGTTACTTAGTTGTTTGATAGCCTCAGACGTCAGTGGTGACTAGCAATAAATAAAACAACAAAGCACTCAAATCCAGCTATTCAGCGAGTCAACGAGCTAGCCAAGCAAACACAATATTCATGTATGTACATACATATGTATGTATGTATGTATGTATGCATTTAGTTAGAACAGCTGTGTAAGTGTGGTTTACCTCAACGACAAGCGCATTCAGAGGCATACATATATACATATGTATGTATGTAGCTCTTGAGTAGCGAAGGTGGCAAGGGGCACCAAAACTCGTTCGGTCATGTTGCGACGTGTGGGTGTTGCATGTTTTTCACATTCGCAACACTGCAAAGTCGAAATGCTAAGGAGAACAATACAATTTTCGAGTTCTTTTTTTTTCAATTTTGTATTGCTGTTGTTGTAAGATATTGACTTTACGCGACTGTTATAAGATCGCTTTGTCGAGTAAGTCTAGGCAAGCAGGCAGACTAGACTGGCTGGCAAGTACTTAGAAGGCAGGCAGTAATATGTCAGGGTGGTGTTGCAAAATAACTCCCCCTCGTTGTAATGAAGTTTTTCATCGGAGTAGGGCGAGCGAGCGATTGCAGCACAGCGCAGAGTCTGATATGTTTTAAAGCGAATACACAGCGGGAAAATTTTATTGAATTGTTTCTTAATATTCAAACTTTTTATTCTAAATTTGTAGGTATGAGATTTTATAGCTCATTAAATTTTAAAAGGATATAGTGCAAGTTTCAAGTGGTTACAGAATGCCGCTGATTTTTGATAACTTTGTTAGCTCATGGCGTTAGGCATTTTCTCACTTACATACTATATCTACATATGTAAAGTATGATCAAAACAGGAATAATTTATTTAATAAAATGCACCCGGCTGAAAAAAATCAAAAAAAAAATCCGCGCGATTTTTAACTGCGTGAGACTTAAACTAAAATTTTCTAACAATTCAGAAGAAAGCTAGATTACTATTGAATGAATAAAAAAAAAAGTTTAAAATTACCTACCTTCATGCATAAATGCTTCGTGGACGAATATTATAAAAACAAAAAATCGCGTAGGCTGTACAGAAACCTATCTTTGGCCTTCTTTGGTCTAAGCTTGAAAGTGTTTAGGAGAAATGATTAAAATTACAAAACCGTTAATGAAAATAGTTGTAAATCTAGGATTTTTATTACGAACTTCTTGTTGTAGCAGTTTTCCCTTGACATGGAATCAAAAGCCCGCATCTTTTACATCGCCGTTTTTATAGAAGTTGTCGCCAGAAATAGCGAGGGATGTACCAAGCTATTGAACTTAGTAGTGCAGTTTTTTTACAGTGTTCCCATGCCACTACTATGAAAGGATATGGCACAAACAGTCTCACAAAAGGGAGTTTCAGCATTGTAAGTTACATATATGGTATCTTGTTGGGCGTGCGCTCATTAAAAATAAAGCTCTACAAACAAGTCCGTTCGGGCCTAAATTTCATTTTTTAAATTAATGGAAATATTAAAAACTTTGAAAGTAAATTTTTATAGCCTTATTCATAAAAAATAAAATAGGTTTAAAGAGCTTTATAAAGTGACGTTTTCATATAAATTTTCGATTTATAAAACAGTTAAAGACTTCCTTATTATATTGAAATTGGGTGTTAGTCTAGATTTTTTTTAAATACATATGTACATACATATATATGTACGGTATGTAATATTTTATACTCCATATAAAAACTCTTGGCATCATCGAACTTTTGTAACCGAAATTCGTATTCCTCTTTTATTGTTTTCTGATATATGTAAGATTGACCTACCAAAGTATTAAGGCACCATAACAATGAGTGTGGCTTGTTACCACACCCATGTTGTCTGATTAAATTAACGGCTCCCTGTGAGTAGCCTATGCTGTAAATTCCACGAAAGTATTGCCTAACAAATACATAAAATCGCGCTTGAATAAAATATTTAGTCTAATTGCAATCGTCACCAGAGAAAACTATGTCTGGTTGGACTAATTTTCGCAAAATAGATCCGTAGCCAGTATTATCAAAATCAATCTCGATATCCAATAAAGGGCACAGAACAACCTCTCTTTGGGGTCCATAGTCTTAAGATCGAAGAAGAGTTTGAAAGAAGGTAAAAATATAATGAAAAAGAAGTTAAGGTTTGAAAGAAGTATGGCTTAAGTTAGACAATAAAGAAACAAAAAATGGCTTATGAACATTGATTAATAAAAATACTTTTTTGAAAGTGGTCGCTCCACGCTGGGCAAACAGCTCGTCCGAACTGAAATCTGCTTATTTTTCACTTGGTGTATTTTTGTAACCCAAAATTTCGTCCTCTTGACTAAGTTACTAACATCAACATGAAAGTGCTGTACAGGTGACACTTTATTTCTGAAAGTGCATTATTGTCTGTCGGCAGATATCTACATACATTTTTGTGCGACGTACTTATTTTGCATGTTAACCTAATAACCTCGGGCAAAGACTTGGCTGAAAACGCCCTGAATTGTATAAGAAAGAAAAAGGAGTTTCCTTCAAGTAGAAATAAAAAAGAGAAAAACTGACCTACTCTTACCCAGCCAACGGGAATAAAATAAAGACAAATAGTAACCAGCTAGCAGCTGTCAATTGTGCTACCATAAAACTTGCAAAACAAATACAAGAGAGAAACAACACTGAAGGCACACAAAATATAGCAACGACTAATTTAACGGCTACACCACTGTACCATTAAGTACACAAAAAAAAGTGTTTCACTGAAGGTAAAGTCGAACATTTGTGTAAAAAAAAAACGTAAAAACCAAAAAATTCTTTTACCAAAAAGCTGCTCCCCATTTACCAAATATTTCCTTGTCCATCACAACGACAGGCTAATTACCCGCGGACAGTCGCGAAAAGTGCATTACCTCGAAGCGACAACTGAAAAATCGCTTAAATCAATAATTTGTTATATTTTTTTTTTTTAGTGAAGCTTCCATTGCGCTTTGACTCATTAAATTATTCGCAGCACTATCTACTGTTTTTTGGCAATGTCTCATTTCATAGCCGCCAGGCGTGGAGGGGTTAATGTGTAACTGAACGTGCCAAGAGGGTACAAAAAGTTGAACCAAAAACCCAAAATAAATAGCAACAAAAATTAATTTATGAGTGCACAAAGGGTGTAACTGCAATTTGACTGCAGCAGCAGTGGCAAGCAGCTCCTTCTTGTCCACTCTCATCACAACTTGGTAGCTTCTTGGCGGTGGCAGTGCCGCTTCACTTTGAGTAAATTATCGCGCCCATTGCACGTGCTTTGTTGCTGCTGCTTGCTGCTTTGCTTGCTTGATTACTTGGTTTGGTTTGGCGGCGTGGTCACTTTCCAAACGCCAGCGCGCTATCCAGCCAGTCGCTCAGCCAGTTGTTGGTGCAATTCATTTTATTTATAGCTTTTACTTTGCAGTGAATAAAGCAATAAAGAAAGATAGCTAGCTAGCTGGCGTTGGCTGGCTATTTTGAAACCGATAAGCGTCTGACCGGGCGAAAGGAAATTTGTTGCAAAGCGTGATCCGATCGATTCGACACTTTCTGTTTACAAAAGTTCGCTAGCAGAGTTTGCCGAGTAATGTGGAATTGCTTCCTCATAGCACTACATACATACATACATACATAACTTTTTCTCTAGTTTGTTGGCTACTGTTTTGCGTTGGTAGTTAGCGCGTAGTTGCTATTGTTTTTGGATTTATTTTATAGCTTCTTGTGGCAGTAATTAAAGCCGCCCTCTTGGTTAAGCGAAAGCGGAAGTCGTTTATTGATTGTTTTTTTTTGCTTTCGCATGCAAAGGGCGGACAAATTTATATGTGTTTATATATCTATGTATACCGAAGCACTCATACACACACACAAACATGCGCACAAGCCGATATGCAAGTGTTGCCATTACAATTCACTTTTGTTTTTTTTTTTTAATTTTTTTTTCCTAAGTTTGCTTCTGGCAGTAAATATTTGCCGAGAGTCGCTCGGGAAAATTAAGTTAAATTTAAGATTTGTGTCGGCAACGGGACATTGGCCTTCAAGCGGGCGTGTCCGCTGCAGTGCTGCCGCTTGGCCATTGTTTACCTTGATTTAATTGTTTTGTGAACTTTACTCTACAAATTGTATGTGCATACTAACTACTTAAGTACATATATGTATAAACATATATCTATAAGTATTTCGTTAATTCCCCTGTCCCATTAAATACTTAAATATTTAGAGCAGAATTGTTGGCGGTCAAAAAAAATCGATAAAAAGTATTTTGTTTTGTTAGCAAGTTGGCGAGGGCTTTAAGCCATTCTGGATGTTTTTTGAGTTTTCCCAATTTTTCTTCTTTTTTGCTTAAGCAACCATGCTTCGAATTCGATAGTAAATAAGTATCTAGTACGAATAACACAGGCAAAAAAAAAATTAATTTCTTCCTTTTTAGCTCAAATAATATTTACATTTTTATGTTGTATATACTCTTCTTTTTAATTGCATTCAATAATCTATAAAATTTCTTTTTTGGTATAAATATGTATTTAAACTCCTGCTTACCTGCGTTTGCGTCAGACCCAGACTCGCCGCTAATTCGGCTCGCTCTGGCAGCGCTAAATACTGGGTACGCTGGAATCGTCGATTTAATTGTTGTAATTGCAATGAACTGTATATTGTGCGTGGTTTGCGCATTTTCTTGCCTTTGCCATTGACGCGTAAGCCGGAATCTTCGCATTTGTCGGATATGGAGAAATCTGCAAAGTTTGAAAAAGTGGAAGAAGAATTATTTTATTTCTAACTTCGCTACCTAAAGTTTAAAAATATGAAAGCAACTTAAAATTTAGATCAATCCCATAAATAGCATATAACCAGGTAGCAATAAGGTTACGATATTTATAATAAAAGTTATAATTTAAAATTTTATTTCTATTTTACCCACACAATTTAACTATTATTTGATGATTTTTAGCTTTTGATCTATTGCAACCGTTATTTTCATATTAAATTTTTTAGATCATAAAATATTTCAATCGGTTATGAAAACGCAGTTTTTATTATAATGATTAAAAACTGTTGAAGCAAATACAATTCGAAAAAGTAACGAATTTTCAATGATCTATAAAATTAAATTCTTTATAATTCCCCAAACGAGTTTGCCTCACCATGTAAACCCGGTGGCAACGCCGGATACAAAATTTAATTTTTAATTAAACCATTTTTGTCCATCGTGTGTTTCAGTCCGAGTACACTTTGCTTTAGTCAAAAACTCAATCACTGGACTTTTCGTCCTATCTTTGGTTTTTTTTTTTTTAATTAAGAAAAAATCTTTTTCTTAAAAAAATTTTGAATTAACTCCTATTGTTATATTAGGTGTTTTTGAACCTGTATATACTATTTAAGAGTATGGCGATCCAAAACCATTCCAAATATAAAAATCGCTTAATAAAATGCGGCAACAAAATCAATATAAATATTTTGAATTACTCTCGAAGTAGACGAAATGTAATTGTCTGAGCAATTACTCACTAAGTGTTTGTATATCTTTAGCCCAATTTACCTCTACATGCATGCACATACTTATGTATGTATGTACATATCTATCACTTACAACAATAGGCGAAAATAGCCTACAGCCAAAAGCGTTTAGTGTAATTGCATTCATTAAAACCAAAGTTCAAAGCACTTGAAATGTAAACAATCGCGCATACATACTACTACTACACACATACAGCAAACTAATAGTTAATTTTATATTTTTTTCTTTCCTATTTTATTAAGTAGTAGTTGTGTGCGTGGCATAAACATTTAAAACGAAAATAATAAATAAGAAGCAAATTGCAAAATAATTTAATAATTGTCAACAATATTGTCTCATGCAGCAGACGAGCTGAATTGCTCTCCACAACACATTTTCGCAGCAATACTTGTAATTAACCGTTATAGCGCTATGCAAAACTATTATTAAACAAATCGGCAGCCACTTAACGATTAGATGAATAGTCAAATTGGCTGCCAGGCGGTGTGCCAGCTATAAATTGTAGCTGTGTAAGTTGGTGTACCCGGGGGGGGGGGCACCCTTTATGCTGCTTTTTGTTTTGCAAAAAGGTTTTTGCTACACACTAATCAAAAAACAAAAACTTTTCTGCAATTGGTGCACGCATATTTGGCCTTTACAATGTCATACGCTGTCGCTTTCAGGGAGGCCTGCCACAGCTCTATCCGTCAGCCCGCTAATTCCAGAATGAAATAATTAATTGTGGCAATCGAAATTGTAATAGCAGACATTATAATTACATACGTAGGCAAAGGCTGCTATTAAACGGATGTGTGTATGTACCTATTCACTTGCAACAGCAAACTACATACGTTCGTGTAATCAGGCACTAATATTTTATTACAATATTAACTTGTTTCTATAACATGATTTTTTCACTTTCGCCTACTTTTCTTCAAACGGCCTATGCCTGTGGTCCAGTTATTAACAAACGCAATTAATTTCAAAATGCAAAAGCAAATTTAATATATTTACTGCTTTGTTATTTTGATATATATTTTAAATCTCCTAAGAACGTATTTGCGGTTTATTAATATCTCATTTATATTTGTATTTCTCGAATACATATTTATTTTAAATACTTTTCTTATAATTTATGCAAGTAAACTGGTTATAAATTCATTCATTCACGACCAGTTGCCGACAACCAACCACTTTTTTGTACATACATATTTCCAACTCGAAATAAATCAAACTGCCCACAAAAAAAAAAACAGCGCATACTTGTTTAAACATTCAAACATAAGTTGGGACACCTGAAAACCCACGAAAAATTAGTAGCTGACATTTTTATGTGTGTATTGACAGTAGCCCACTGTGTCGCTCACAGCGGGGTGTCCACCTTAAACGTGCAACATGAACAATAATTCACTCATAACAGCACAAAAAACAACAGCATAATCATGTATGAAGCGGCGATACAACAAGTCAAAATGCCATTCATAAAGCAAACAAATGGGGTTCGAAAAAATATGCGAAGTGTTCACGAGTAGATAGTGATAGCTCATGTGTGAATCGTGAGTGTTATTGGAGTTCGCGGTTTTGAGTGAGATAAATTAGATCTTAATTACCACTAAGCTGCTGGGCAGTGGTAAATGAAATGAAATCGCATTGAATTGTAACAATTACATTGAATAAAATGAGACAGCTTTGCCATTGCCAGTTGATGAGTTAATAAACTTCAACAGGTAAAAGCTTCAAGTGCGCGCCAAAAATAGATGAAACGACAATGTAAAAAATTAATACATTATATTACATAACAGCTACTTTTTTTTGAGTAAAATAAACTGATATAGTTACTTATTATTTGATGCGGTGTCGATTTTCAGTTAAAAGGTGCAATCTTTTGAAATTAGACACAATTAATAATTTTTATCGCACAATTTTTAACCGACCTCAAAAATGAGGTAATAAATTCGTCGGAAAATTTTTTTTGTTAATGTACATATGTTACCGCATTACTTTGGACCACGTTAACCGAGAACTCTTTTTTAAGCGACTTGGATTCGATCATTGGATTATGGGTACTCTTAAATTTTTATACAAGAATTGAAGTCGGTTTTGTTTTTTGCTTAAAAAGTACTGTTTTTTTTTTTAAATACCTGAAGAAGCAATTTAAGAGGCATTTAAAAGAGTAGTTTTAATTGAGTTAAACCTATGATAAGTCTTTATTATTTAGTAGCGGCAATTTATTAGTTCTAAAGCGTTTGTGTGTGAATGTATTAATCCAGAAAACCAATATCGGACATCTCATCATCTTTAAAACAGAGCTGACAATTCAGTTAACCCGGTGCGTAAGCGAACAGAGACGATTGTGATGGGTTAAATAAGTAGTGGCTAGCCTGATTTCAGTTGGATTCAAAAGTCTTACGTCCTTCGTTACAATAGGATAAAACCATGGTTGAACAAGTTCTTCTTGCATTAATTACTTGCTTCTATCTCTCCTACCATAAAATAAATAATAAATAGATGGGTTTGAAACCTCCTTTTTTATTTAAAATGGCATTTTTTTTATTTTTTTCTCTCTGACGTCAGGATTTATTTTAAAGGACTTTGTAAAATTATTTAAAAAATTCAAGGCAATGTAGAATAAAAATATGGGTACGAAATGAAAGAGCAAATTTCTTTAGAATTAAAAAAAAATAAACTTTTTGGATTCACAAGGACGAGTAGGTAATTTTTCAAACTGATAAAGTTAGAAGGACGAAACTCTAGGAAGCTATCGAGTTTATATAAGTCCTTAACATATAATTTTTTCAAAATCAAATATTTCGAAATTTCATGGATAAAATTTTAAAAGGACATTTTCAATATTTACCAGTCCTTATGCACCAAAAAATTAATATAATTAGATTCTACAGAATTTCCTCTTTAATTTTATACCCATACTTCTCTAAGCGCATTTCACTGAATTCTTTAAATTATTTTTGAATTACTGACAGCAGAGTGAAAAACATAGAACGCAGTTTTTTTTGGTCCATGGTTTTGCGGATATATTGATTTTTGTGTGTAAAATTTACGATCGCACAATTAAAAAAAAAAAATATTATTAAATAAAAAAAGAAACATAGCCAATACTGCTCAAGAAAAGGAGTTTGCCAAGAATCCCGGAATTTTCGGGATCTAAAAAGGGCCGGGATGCCGGGAATAAAATTCCTAATACTACTGGAATGTACAATGATTTTTATTTTTCGAGTTTAATCAATAAAGATTAAAAATAATAATTAATATTTGAGTGTTATTTTTTCGCTCAAAGGAAATTATTACTAGATTATTGTTATAAGTATCAAAATTTTTGGATCAAAATCTCAGTTGGCTGCGTCCGTATGGCCTTTTAAACTTTATTAAAAAAAAAATAATGGAAAAATAAAACTCAAAAATAATAATAATTATATCTGAGCGACAAAATAAAATCATAAAATAATCATTATTTGTGATCGAAAAAGTAAAAATCAAATGATAGTTATTTCCGTTGAGCGAAAAAAAATTAAAAATCTCAAAATAATGATTAAAAGCTGATTTAAATTATTTTACTCATAATGATTACCGTCCCTGATTAAAACATAATTATACACTAAAGGACTTTCCTTTAACATACTTTTAGGTGCAACGCATTTGTAAATAATCGGCCTTATCGGGAATTTCATGTTATCAAATATTCCCAAAAATTTTAAGGAAAAAATAAACACTTTTTCCCGATTTGTTTTTGTTTTGCTTGTAAATTCTTGTGAACAATTAATTCACATAGAATTGGCGATAGGGCTGAATATTATGCTTGCTCTACTACTACGAAAATTTGAGGTACTGAAATTCCATTGTTTTATTTTTTCCGATAATCTTGGCTCTTAGCACAATTCATCCTCTCATCTGAATATTTTTTAACAACTGCTTTTCTGTTAATTATGAAAAGCTCAGGCGAGCGTTTGGGGTGACAAAAACTTTACCAACGCCCACTCGCTCCCGATTAGAGTCATCACGTCATGCACTTAGCGATGCACAACGCTCCATATAGGAACATACATACATATGTACACACATATCTATGTATGTACATACTTACTAAGCTCTACTTTTCAATGTGATTGCCGTTAAAAGTATATGTACATATGTACATATGTTTTTATGTGGCTGTGGAAGTAAATAAGTACCTGTAGGTATATAAGATGTACTTGCACAATATGTATGTACATATGTTTAAGT